AGTCATCCAGCTGTTATTGCAAATACATCAGTCTCAAATATCAGGCTTGCAGACCACCTTCCTTTGATTATTTAACCTAAATATGCCAAACAAAAAAGAGGTTGCGTGTCATTCCCTTGTTCAAAAATGGCTCTCGTTAAGACACAAGCGACTACTGACAATTTCTATATTAGCTGTTATTTCGAAGATACTTGAACGACACATTGCAACATCCCTTTCCACATACCTACATAGCTATGATTTGCTATACAACCTTCAGTCAGCTTTTCAACCAGATCATAGCACGGAAACGGCACTGATTAAATTAACTGATGAACTGCTCTTTAATATGGATAATAATATGGTCACTGGCTTAGCCTTTGTCAATTTTAGAAAGGCCTTCAATGTGATAAATCACTGACTTTTACCTAAGAAGCTATCTATTTACGAGGCCAATAATTTATCATTGAACTGGTTTGGGTCATATCTTACCAGAAGGAAACAATATGTGCGAATAAATGGCTGCTGTTCCACCAGTAAACAGTTGTTGCAAGGAGTGCCTCAAGGATTGATCTTAGGACCTATTTTCTTCCTATTGTTCGTGAACAACATGCCTTTAAGTATACATGATTCAACACTAGACGTTTATGCTGATGATACAACTTTAGCAAAAATCTCTGGCTGGGAAAATGTCCTTCATCTGACACAGGCTCTAAATCAAGATCTCATATATTTAGATGAGTGGTCAGCACGAAACAAGATGTCTATCAACTTCAGGATACTAAGATATTAAGATACTAAGATACTATGATGATGGTGATACTAAGATACTAGATACTAAGTCCATGCTGCGTTCTGCACGTTTGCAGAACCTTGTCGCCTCTAGCACAATAGATGTTAACTTAAATGGAAGAAACATTAACAATTAACTGACTTCAAACTTTTATGGGCAATGTTTGGTCACGATCTTTCATTTAATTGCCAGATCGGGGAGTTATGCAAAAAGTTGGCAAAACGTGGACTCCATCACATAAGTCCATAATTAAAACGCAGTCAACAAGACATACAACTCTACAATCATTAAACCTATAATGCTTTACGGCAGTATGATTTGGACTTCTTGCGGTAAAGAAAATCTTTTGAAAGTTCTGCGTCTTCAAAAATGTGCAATGTTCTAGACTAATTTTTGATGCCAAAAGAACAACACCTTCTGTCAGCTTATTTAACTCCCTAAAGTGGATTCCCTTTCATGCTGAATCATTTGTAAATTGATGCAAGCTTACACAAGGCTGAATGGCAATACCCCTGAATATATAAAATGATTTACTTATCAGGAACTCTGACACACATAACAGATCAACCCATTTCTGTAATCTTCACTTAAGTTGCCCTCGATGTAAGAGAAGTAAGGAAGCTGGTCGAACGTTTGCTGTGACAGCAACAAAAGAATGGAACAATCTTAGTGTGGACCTCTAACGGAGTACCAGTGTCAAAAAATTTAAGCGTTCCCTAATAATTTAAATAATCAAATTCTTACACAATTATTCGTGTAAATTTTAAATTCCGTATATAACCACCTTTTATAATCTTATTTTGCGATGTACAAAGGCTTATATACTGTTTTA